CAACAGCATGGGTACCGAACATTGCCCGTGCTAGGGCGCCTAGCCCTTGACTCGAAGGAGGCCTGTCATGTGGCTGTGCATAGGCCATCTTCAAGCTCTCCATTTTATCAATCCTACAACTAGTGTCGCACGCCCTACATCCATATTATCGGGTCTGCAACAAGCCTTGGCCGTGCACTTGCTAGACCTCCACCGCCGGCAAGAAGAACTGCTTAGCAGAAGAGGAAGTTAGCGTCGCATAGATTCGTGCGCCCGGACCGAGAGTCCAAGCACGCACCGTCATCACGCCGCTTCCCGAGTCTTCTTCGCCTATGTAAACCTGCAGAGAGACAGCGCAGTCAGCAACTTGCAGATCTTGGCGCGTAAACGTCCAGAACCCACTTACGTAGAAGATGGCACAATGATTCTCGCAAATGCTGGTGATGGACTTGGTCTCTACGACGGAAGAGGACAGAAAGCGCATGAACGATTTCATGTCAAGTCGAACAGAGCGATATTCACTCTCCGCTCGGCCGTGGCGCGCCTGCGTCATGATTTCGAGGTCTGGATGGTCCAAGTCGCGCCACGTCGTCTCTATCTTGACCTCGTCCTTTTCGATCGACAATTTGAGTTCGTGCGCTCGATTTGCAGACACAGTGATGGTGTCAGACAGCGATTGCATGCGTTCAGCAACTCGTCGAATCTTGTGAAGGCGAGGGAGGTAGATGCATGCCTGCCAGAAGGAGTTATGGCAAAGAGGAGACGAATCAGATGCGGCTTGGCATCCTACGCGCGCAAGCTAAGCACCCTCTCACATCGGGCACAGGACATTCAGGCTCGCGAATGCGACTGATTTCAGCTGGTCGGAGCACCCGTATCAGCACTTCTTGAGAGATCTCAAGGCGCGCTCCATTCACGGTGCTGTTGCCGATGGTAAAGTTGAGCAGAGGATCACGATCGCGCTTCGCTAGGCGGATGATGACGTCGACAGCGTTGATCGATGATTTCAAGGCGTGCAAGAAGGTCTCGGTGGCCACCTCGAGATTGATCTGATCGTTAAAGTTGGACTCTATGCGGAGGACGTCTGGCTTGAACAGCGCGTTTGTCATGACTTGTGACCAGATTTGGACTCCCTCGGGCGCATCAGACCCTGTGACAATGATGTCGAAAGTGCTCTGAGAGAATCGAATGATGCATTTGTTGGCAATCTTTCCCACAGACTCTGCCGAGGGAAACAGGTCGTACGCTCAGCACTGCACCTCCCGAGGAAAGCGTGCGCGCGTGCCATGTCACGCGATACTTACGAATCATTCCATGCAACGTCTTTGAGTCGGTCAAGCTGACACGTAGACGCATCTTGGCGGAGCTGACCTGCGAGAGCAGGGCATGACACCTCTGACCACTGCTGCACGTCCAGACCGCACTTTCCAAATCGATCGAGACGGCGCTAGGAGCGCATACATGCAGCTTTCCTGAAGAATGAACAAGGAAGGGCCCATGCAGTCCACGGCAGCTCCACGTTGGTGGCACCTCGAGTCAGCGGGATCAGACGATGAGATGGCGCGAGGGTCTTCGTTGCTGCGA